CTCAGCACTAACAGTCAATGCATACATGGCAGCAAGAATAACATCATAGTCCAGATCAAAGATAGGCACATCACGCCTAAGCAGCTCTGCCCAGTTGGGGAACTCAGTAGCATCAGGATACTTAGTACGCCAGGCGTCACTAAGCCTAGCAAAACAACGATACTCAGTGTGAAAACCGTTGCAGGGGCGACCCTTGCGGGGGCCAGTACGAATGACATAGGGGCAGCGGTCAGAACCCCGAGACGCCCCACGCCCAGCATACCAGTCATTGAGCTGCTGGGAGGTGAGGGGAGGAAGCTGCTGCTGCTGCTGTGGCTGTTGCTGCTGCTGCTGCTGCTGGCCACCCTTCTGGCCAGATCCACCCCCACTCCCACCTCCACCGCCACTGCCGCTGCCTCCTCCCCCACCACCGCCGCCGCCGCCTCCACCGCCCCCGGTCCTGCCGCCACCCCACCCACCGCCTCCACCCCCACGGCCACCCCCACCACCTCCACCACCCCCGCCGCCTCCACCACCGCTCCCTCCACCGCCACCTCCGCCACCCCTGCCACCCTTGCCGCCCCTGCCACCACCACGCTTCCCACCAGGAGCGGAAGCCGCTGCGACCTTCTCCGCACCGAGGAAGTCGACAGCAGTAGCAGCAGAGGCGTAGGAGGGGTCAAGAGGGGAGGGGGAGCACCCCTCAAAGAGGGGAGTGCGGGGAGTGCCACGAGCAGCACCGACAGCGAGGATGTTCTTCTCTGCTGCGACCAGCTGCTGCTCGAAGTCGTCCAGAGTGATAGTTGGAGGATCCTTGGCAAGGAAGTAATCCCTGACAGAGCGAAGAGTGTCAGGGAGGCGGGTGACGAGGATGTAGAGGGTGAAGTACAGCGGGGGGGTGTTCGTGGCGAGGAACTCGTTGGTAAGAGCGGCTCGAAAGCGGGCGTCACTAGCGCGGAGGTGAGTGATAAGGTCGGCAGCAGTGTGAAACGAGGCTAAGTCTGGGAACAGGTAAGGCAGGATGAGACTACCAACGGTGGCTGTGGTCGGGGCGGAATAGCGGGCAACGACAGCATCATACAGCGTCTTAGCAGTCTTAAGCTGGTTGAAATGCGCGCGCTCAGAGATCGGTAGGTGATTGCGAATAACAAGGCGCGCGACAGCATCGCGGAGCTCCCACTGTGCTCGTTCAGGGGCAGGAGCAGTCTCAGCAGGAGTAGGGACAGTGCCGGTCACATAGGCTAGCAGTGACACTCCGTCTGCGACGTCAGTCATAAGGTAAAGGCGCAGGTCACTAAGCCAGGTGTCAAACTCGATGGGGCGGCCGTCAGGCTCAAAGGCGAGAACAGTAAGGGTCGCCATGGTTGTAGCGCAGGCAAAAGTAGCAGGCTCAGGCAGCAGGCTCAGGCAGCAGGCTCAGGTAGCAGGCTCAGGCAGCAGGCTCAGGCAGCAGGCTCAGGCAGCAGGCTCAGGCAGCAGGCAAAGACTGCAGGTTCAGGCAGCAGGCTCAGGCAGCAGGCAACTGTAGCAGGTAAGGAAGCACGCAGTTCTGTGACAGGCCGCGCGTAAGGCAGGCAAGCGCACGACTCACGGGCGGCTAAGCGCTCAGGTCGAGGCAGTGGCGCACAGGCAGGGCAGGGCACGCGCTGCTGCGGGCTGCGCGCGGCAGCGGGCTGCGCGCGGCTGCGGGCTGTGCGTGGCAGCTGGCTGTGCGCGGCGACGGGCTGCGTGCGGCTGCGGACTGCGTGGGGCGACGGGCTGCGCGCGGCTGCGGGCTGCGCGTGGCTACTGGCTGCACGCGGCGGCGGGTCGCGCGTGGCGGCGGGCTGCGCGCGGCGCCGAGCTGCGCGTGACAGCAGCGAGCACGCGGGCGGCTAAGGCAGCGGGGCGCGCTAAAAAAAAATGCACGCTCGCATGCAGCCGAGGCGCGCGCGGGCAGCAGGCAAGGTAGGCACGTAGGTATAGCTGTAGGGAAAGTAACTCATGAGTAGGTGGGCCCCAATCTTAGGTCCTTAGGACCATTGCTCTAGATGCCATGTTGAGATAGCTAGGCAAGGTGAGGTTCACTATCGAGAGAAAATGGTACAAAAAACACAACCCTAAGGAGTTATCCCCTATAACATCTACCCCACTACAGCCTACCAATATATATCACACATATATATCATTTGACAATATGTACCCCAACCCACATCAATGAACCATCATTCAGTTTCAAACAGATATCTGCCTGATGGACATGGAAAGTGCTCCGATCGCTTTCGACGAAGCCAACTGCAAAGTACCCTTTACGAACTAATAAGATATAACTTCGCGGCAAGATACATGGTGGACTCTAGTGCCAGCCTGATGTCAGATGTCAAAAAGTGAGTTCTTCCCAACCAAAATGAGTATGTTTCCCCAATTCGCTATGCTGCAAACCTCTAAGGATGTTGTAACATTGTTGACAATCATTGTTTTGGATGTTGTATCAAGCTTTGCGCCATATTCGGCGGGTCTTATAAAATGGGCCACGCTGCTATGCCCCCCCGCTGTCATCGTGGCAGTGGTAGCCGAGTCGTGGTCTGGTTGGAGGTTCGGGCCGCGAGGGGCAAGGGAGACATGCGTTCAATTTCGTGGCTGAGGGGGGCTGGAGACAGGCGGTGTTGAGGAAGAGCAAACGAACCGCTGCTGGTGCAAACCCGTGCAAAACCGCAGGTCCAATTTCAAAGGACTTGTGCGAGGCCAATCCAAGCACTGGTTATGGGGTGGAATGGAGCGTGCTATAGTCAAGCTCGTCGGGCCGCCCTCCTTCGTGTCGGCCACGGTCTGCCAAGGGCTGGAAGGGCGGGCCCGCCGCAGTCCAGGATTGGTGCGCTGGAAGAAGGTACAGCGTCGAGTTGGTGTCACAGCCTACCTACCTCGATAACTACGTTGGATCACCTCGTCGCCATGGTGAATGCGTCACGACACATTCATCCGCTCCTTCGCTCTAACATCTTAAGTCACCTCTCCCGCTTTCACGATAGAGATTGATTTTGTTATCTCGAGCTTGGGATTAACGTAGAACGAAAACGATGAGCCATTCGCTGGCATCATAGGTGCACCACATCACTTCACCAAAGTACCTTGGGTATAGTATATAGATCCCCGATGGCGGCGAGAGTATATCAAAAAGCTTCGACGGCTCGGATCATAGTCGGGTTGACACGAAGGCCCTCGACCTGTCGCGCGAGTCAATGGGCGTGCTGCTGGCTGCTGGCGTGTGCGCTCTCGTGGTCGTGGAGCGCCGTGGGGCACGCATCGGCACGCAGTGCGGCAGTTGAAGACACATACACCAGTAGGAGACTTCAAGCGACTTCCACAAGCAGCGGCGGTCAAGCAGGTGGATCAACGCCGCAATCGCGATACTTCCTGCTCCCCAACAACCCTTACGGCGCCAAGTGCCTCGACGGCAGGTACGACGTCTGCGTTATGAAGCGCGGCGAGTGGGCAACGGAAAGTGAGAGGGCATCGTAGCTGGCTCGACTAGATGGGGCTCCGTATATCGCGAGAAACTGCAAGTGGCAAACTCGAGCCACCTGCATCCCTTTCCCTTCCACCGCACATTCCACCCCTGCTCTCCTCTCACGCCGTGCGGCCTCGCTTGCACCCCTGCCGCGAATCTTTGTTTATCTCTTCCCACGTCACTTCGCCCTCCGCGCCACTTCGCCCTCCGCGTCACTTCGCCCTCCGCGCCACTTCGCCCTCCGCGCCACTTCGCCCTCCGCGCCACTTCGCCCTCCGCGCCACTTCGCCATCCGCGCCACTTCGCCCTCCGCGCCACTTCGCCATCCGCGCCACTTCGCCCTCCGCGCCACTTCGCCATCCGCGCCACTTCGCCCTCCGCGCCACTTCGCCCTCCGCGCCACTTCGCCCTCCGCGCCACTTCGCCATCGGCGCCACTTCGCCCTCCGCGCCACTTCGCCATCCGCGCCACTTCGCCCTCCGCGCCACTTCGCCCTCCGCGCCACTTCGCCCTCCGCGCCACTTCGCCCTCCGCGCCACTTCGCCCTCCGCGCCACTTCGCCCTCCGCGTCGCACCGTACTCCGCCCGTCAGCATCCAGAGGCGGCACTCGTCGCTACCTCGTCCAGCCCCGCTTCCTTTTCACCCTCAACAACCCCCCACTCTCCCGACCTCCCCCTTTTTCCCCTTGCGGCGTCCTAGTAAGCAGCGCGCCTGCACCGCCGGTCTCGTTGTCACACTGCTACCCGCTGGTGCCACATCCACTCCTGCAGCAGCGGTTGGTTCGTCCTGCACCTCAAACCCCCTCCCTCCTCCCCTCTCTCCCCCTCCCTCCCCACTTTGCGCCCCGCCGCTCGCCACCCGCGCACAGTCCGCCTGGGTACCAGTACCGGGAGGGCTACGGCGAGGCGAGGCAGTGGTGGCACATCCACCTGCCGGGCGGCGGGTGGTGCGCGTCGCTCGACAAGTGCTTGGCGCGTTCCAAGACCAAGCTGGGCTCCACACGTGGCTTGCAGAACGGCATGCCCACAGGGAGCCGCAGCAGCAGAAAGGCCAGCAACGACAACGGCGACCCGGACGCTGTGAGTTGCTCATGCCGCCTTGTCCCTCCTCGGCAAAGGTCTCCCTTCCTCGAAATACCGTTCCCCATCCTCCCTCCCTCCGCTCCTTTCTACCATCCTCCTTCATCTAATTTCTTCTTGTGCTCCAACTCCCCCATGCCTTCCTTAACACCTCTAACTGTGCTTCCGAAACGTCCCATCCCTGTCCGCCGTCCCATCCCTGTCCGCCGTCCCATACCTCCCCGCCGTCCCATCCCTCCCCGCCGTCCCATCCCTCCCCTTTCCACCGTCGTCACCCCCATCGCGCCCTTTGATCCCGACATCGCCGCGCACTCCCCTCTGTCCCCCACCACAAAAGGTGTAGTGCCAAGTCCGTGACCCCCGTCCGTTCCATCCCGACTGTACGTTCGCAATCCCCATGACGCACACCCTCTCCCTCTCCGCCACGACCCTCGCCCTCCCCGGCCAGCAACCTATGCGGCTGCTGCGCGAATTTGAAGCTCCAATATCTTCTCATTCCCACGCCCCTCTCCACCCCTCTCCACCGCTGGCCCCTCACTCACCTCCCCGCCGGCCGCATCCTCTCGTCGGCTTCCCTCACCCTCCACTCCCCCACCTTCCATGCGTGCAGCCCCCGCGCGGCATAACGAGCGCGGATGCCGCCACGAACCCCACCTTCTACAACTGGCACCTCGTGCGCCCCGTCTACTGCGACGGGGGGGGCTTCGCGGGCCGCGCGGGGTACAAGGTGGTGGGCAACGGCAGCGAGGGCGTCCACATGGACGGCTGGCGCATCATCCACGCCATTCTGGGCGGTGCGTGTTCCACGCCATTCTGGGCGGTGCGTGTTCCACGCCATTCTGGGCGGTGCGTGTTCCACGCCGTTGCTGCTCGAACGACATCTCAGCGTTTCTCTCCGCCCCGCAACCGTCCGCTCCACTCGTCCCCGAATCCAAGTCACCCCTAGCCACCATCCCCTCTCCTTCCCCTACCCACCATCCCCCTCCCGTGCACCATTCTCACCATGGCCCCATCGCCATGGCCCCCACCCCCGCGCCTCACTGCGCGCGACTCGGCAGATCTGCGCACAGGCTGGGGCATGACAGGCTGCGGCATGACAGCGCCGGCGCGCATTCTGCTGTCAGGCAGCTCTGTGGGCGGCCAGGCGGTGATCCGCTTCCCCCACCACTGACCATTTCCCCCCCATCCAGCCCCCCTTTTCCCCTTCCAGATCTGCGCACGAGCAGGGGCATGACGGCGCCGGCGCGCATTCTACTGTCGGGCAGCTCCGCGGGCGGGCAGGCGGTGGTGACGCTGTGCGACCTGCTGCCGCTGCTCTTCCCGCGCGCGCTCGTCAAGTGCATCATGGACGCGGGGCTCTTCGTGGGTGAGCGGGGCTCTTCGTGGGTGAGCGGGGCTGGTATGGGTGGCAGCAGTGGGGCTGTTAGCGCACTCGTCAAGTGCATCATGGATGGTGGGCACTTCGTGGGTGGGAGCAAGTAAGGCTATTCGCGTGTGAGAGCACAATCAAGTATGGAAACCTGGAATTTAGGGGTAGAACTAATTGGTGCGTCCTGTTGGTGACCGTTAAGTCGCTGGGTCCTGCTGGTCGCACCAACGCACTGAACCGCAAGCAGCCCCACCTCACCCGCCCACCCATCCCCTCGCCCACCCCTTCGCCCACCCCCCTGCCCACCCCCGTGCCCACCCTTCCCCCCACGCCAGATGCGGAGGACCGCACAAACCGGCGGGCGTTTGCAGCGATGGTGAGAGCGACTGTGGGGCTGCACAACATGCGAGTCAACTGGCGCTGCAGTCAAAGTGAGTCAACTGGCGCTGCAGTCAAGTGAGTCAACTGGCGCTGCAGTCAAAGTGAGTCAGCTGGTGACATAACGATGCTTCCTCTCCCCCTCCCCTCCCGCCTTTTCCCCCCCCTCCCCCTTTTCTTCCCCCTTGACTCTCTCACATTGCAACCGCCAACCCACTCACTGCTACCTCCCCCATTATTCTCCCTCCCAACCCCGCTCACACAGCCATGACCCCGGCCAACCAGTGGCAGTGCTTCTTCCCCCACCGGGCTTTACGCTTCGTGTCGTCGCCCGTGCTGGCGGTGAATTCCCTCTTTGACTACCGCGCGCTCATGCTGGGCAACCAGCTGCCCGCCAACCAGGCGCAGGCCACCGCGTGCCTGCGCCAGATCGCGCGCGAGGGCGGCACCGACCTGCTCAGGCTCGTCACCAGCCAGACCTGGCGCCAGGATCGGTCTGCACTGGCGGAGATTCAGTCAGGAGAGATGTTTCCCAGAGGTGATTATAATGGGGGGAGTTTGGATAATGGGTTGACAAGTACTGTGGAGGAAGGGGACGGCCCTGGGAATGGGAAGAGCGGGAAGGGGAAAGGGAAGGGGGGTGGTGGCGGGGCAGGAAAGGGACGAAAGGTGAGGGGTTCAGCAGGTGCGGCAGCAGCTGAGGCGCCTGTGTGCGCGCCTGAGGAGCACAGGGCAGTGCTGAATGTGGCGTGGCAGATGATTCAATACACGGACGCTGCTTCCCTGGAGCTCGGACCCACTGTTAGCACGTTTGTCACGCCTGCAATCGCGCACTGCGCACTGACCAGCCCGAAATGGGGCTCACTGATGGACAAAGGCGTGACACTTAGAGATGCTGTCACAACATGGTATAAGCGGCCTCTTTGATCACTGCTCGTCTAAAAAAAAAATAGATACTCAGTTACAGCTGTAAGCAATTTCAGTTCCTTACTGGGGCTGTACTAACTCCTGGAAATGCATGCCCGTCCCACTTCCAGAGCCCTGAGGTTGCCTAGCTTGAAAACTGAGACTTCCCTCCTCACCTCACACATTATTTTGTTTCATCTGCTAATAAGCGAGCTATTTTACTGTGTGAAGTTTAAAAGACCGTGGTCTGAGAAGGGAGCGGATGTGAAGGGTTGACGGAAGGATCTCGGGAAGCGTAGGGAGGGGGGGGGGGGGGGGGAAGAAAATGCACGGTAGGAAATGCTTTTACATACCGTACAAGGAGAGCACCAGATTCAGGGAATTGAGGGGCATGGGGGAGGGAAAGAGAACCATAGGGAAGGGAAGGGAAGGGATGGGAAGGGAAGGGAAGGGATGGGAAGGGATGGGAAGGGATGGGAAGGGAAGGGAAGTGAAGGGATGGGAAGAGAAGGGAAGGGAAGAGAAGAGAAGGGAAGGGAAAGGAACGAAATGGAAGGGAAGGGATGGTAAGGGTTAAGAGAAGGACGAAATGCAAGGATGAGAATGGAGGTGAAGGGATGGAAGGCAGGCTGACGTGATGAAGGGGAAGGAAAGGGACAGAATTTAGGAACAGACGGACAGTGGACAGCTGGTGACGAGGAATAATGATGGGAGGGGAGGCGTGACGAAGGGAGCCGCGACGATGGGAGGCGCGACGATGGGCGGGGAGGGGAGTCGCGTCGATGAAGAAAGGCACGAGCGGAGGCGCGACAGTGGGGCGGGACGAGAAAAGGCGCGACAAGGGGAGGCGTGACGAGGGGAGGCACGACGAAGGGAGGCGCGACGAGGGGAGGCGCGACAAGGGGAGGGACGACTGGAGACAAGACGAGATGCGCGAGCAGGCGCGGAAGCGGGGCTACACTCACCCTCGCTTCGGAAAGTTTGGAATGATAGCTCCTCGCTTCTGATCTGATACGTAGATTATTACTGTACGACAGGTTGGTGAGGTTGGCCTTCACACTTGTGTGACTCTCCACGTCCCTGGACTATATTTTACGTCCAGGTGGGCTCTCAGGCATTATATACAGTAGCTCGCCTCGCTAACCCTCTCTGCTCGTCGTTTCGGTTCGCGCATGTGAAATGGTTTCGCACATACTGGAATTATTACTCCCGTGCGCACATGTATACGCTGGCGAAAATCGGGGGGTAAGTAGCTTTGGCAGGGCTTAGACTAGCGACCCTGCGCTTTGAGGGGGACTACAGTGCAAGTAGAGGGCACTTTCCACCCCTCCGTGCCTCAGACAGAGAAGTTATAGAAACAGGACAGGGCACTTCACCACATTCACCCACGTGTCAACAATTTCCATGCCACCTACTGTACTGGACATCTGACCAACTGTGCGCAACATATTTTTGTCCCTTCTGCAAAATCGAATCCACAATCTGGGTGGCTCGGCTGCCACACTGTTCCTAAATCTGCTAGGCTACTGTTTCGCGCCCAAATTTTCGGGATGATATACCTCAGCGGACGAAAAATGCCGCCCAGATTCGCGGTTCAAAGGGGACAAGGCCCCCCCTCGGGATTGACGACCTCCCGACGACCTCCGAGCTCCCAGACGGGCCCAAATGGCGTCCCAGGGGCCTCGGGAGCCCTCGGGATTGTCGACAATCCGACGACACCCGTTTGCGCTGGGAGATTCCTGAGAAGGAAATCTCAGCGGACAAAATTCGCCACGTCGAGCCGCGGATGCCTCCACGCGGACCAATAGGGAGGTGCGAGACCCGCCCCACCGATTACAAGGCTGCCACGACGTGGGCGTCGTGGCCACGCGTCGCTCTAGCGGTGCAAACCCACGCGGCGCAAATCGGACCGTCCACATCTTCACTGTCTTGTGGCATCGCGGGTTGCCAGGGAAGTCGGTGTCGACCAGATCATCCCAAGGCACACAAACCCGGCCACACGGCACGTTCTCTGCCAAGCGCGCCGAGTGGAAGTCGGCGCCGATCATAGGCCCCCCACGGCATGGTTGCCACGCCGTGCTTGAGTCATCCCGGGCCTCCGGGAGATCCATGTCTGCTTGCCTTAATTTCTGCACTGGGGCGCCAATGGCGGTCGCAAGCCGCGTAACGCACGCCCATTCCGACGTGGAATGGCACTGGCTTACGCCCCTTCCGTGCAGCGCGGCGCCCAGCTAGCCATGCCTGGCACGTGCCAATCGGACAGTGCGCCGCCTTTACGAGAACACATGCACGGCGGCGGATGCATTGGGGTGTGCGTGACGCGCGGCAGCATCGTAGTCGCTCAGGACCATACCCGTCCGTTGCCCCGCGAGCCTGCTCATTCGCTTGTCCGTTCCTGCGTTCCTTCCTGCTCTCTCGTTCCCTTAGAATTTTCAGCTGCCAGTCTGTCATCGCGCCTGTAGGTTGCTCGACAGCCGATTGTTCGTCCAAGTCGGCACAGGTTCCACGTCGCGAGTCGACGTAGCAAGTCGGCGACGCATGGCCAGAGGTCGCCCGAGGGCCCAACAGCCGCAACCCATCCCACCCCCCGCCGACTCGGTAGACGCCGACATCAAGGCGCAGCTGGAACAGCTTGAACTCGAAGCCGAGTTAGACGCGCTTGAGCGAGAATTCGAAGAAGACGAAGACCGCCTGACGCTTCGCGCGTTCGCCGCACCCGTCACACAGTACCGTCTCTGGTTTACCACCCCCCGCGATCTCGAGGTCGACGCCCGTGACTCAGTACCGGCAGTGGTTTAACAACCTCCCCAACGCACACGGACGACGGTAGAGCAGCAGACGTGTACCGACATGGCCGACGTCGACATGTCCGACGCTAGGCCATCCACCGACCAGGGTCCGACGACCACCGACCGCAGTCCGACATCCACCGACCACAGTCCGACACCTACCGACGAAGACAACCTGCAGTTACTCTACGATCTGGACAAGCTGACGCAGATCCCAGAAGGGGTGTTCACCACGGACGTTCCGCCACCGCCGATAGGGAAGTTCAACAAGAAGAAAAAACAGACTCCTACGCAAAATGGTCGGCCAGGTACCTCGTCGGCACCGGCCGCCCCTGGAAACCAGGTCGATGACGAGGACGCGGAGGAGGAGGGGGGGGAGGAGGAGGAGGAGGAGGAGGAGGAGGAGGAGGAGGAGGAGGAGGAGGAGGAAAGCGATGACGAAAACGACGACCGTCCACCTCGTAGCTCTAATCCGCGCACCTTGGACGAACGACTCAGGCGGGAACTGCAATTCATCGACATACTGCTCGACCAGGACGAGGACGAGGACCAGGAGAACTTGGCGGTGCCGCGCGAACAGTGGAGAGCGGCAGACTTCGTCGAGGAGGACATGGTTTACGCGTGCGTAGACGTGCTCGTCATGGACGCTCTTCGCCACCTGCAAACCGTGGAGAGGAACAGCACGCTGAGGCAGTACACCTCGTGGATCTATCACTACAAGAGGTGGGCGGCGAAGATGTTGAAGCAAATTCGCAACAAGCTTCCGCAGGAGTACAGGCTTAAGCACGTCGACGAGATAGGGCACTACATCCGGGAGAACAAGAAGAAAAACTGGGACCAAGAGGCCGATGTCCCCCGGTCTCACGTGTGGCTGCACGGCCCTAGGGTCACCAAGGACCGGCTTCGCGCATACGTGAAGTACATGATTCGGGAGTTGAACCTCGATGCCGAGTCCGGCAAGGGGGCCGACAACGCCACAGGAACACAGCCGGTGCAGTCGACAACGGTACACACGCTCCTCGGGCGCATAAAGGCATGCCAGATGGCGGCGAGAGTGGAGGCGACGCTCTTCCGGGAGACGGAACTGAGCATCATGAGGGAGATATCGGTGGTCAGGTCGGAGGTGCGGTACATGATCCGCACCAAGAACGAGCGGGACATCAAGTGAGTTTATGTTTTAACCTACGTCGACCACTCTCCTGCTGTCATGATCTTTGTCGACGCCGCCCTAAATACCCCTTGCCCATGGCATTGTTGGCAGGAACTGCGCCGATCGCCGTCGCGGAACCATCGGCGATACCTACACCGCCGAACAGTTCCGCCAGATCATGTTCAGGGTGCTGCCGGCGTGGGCGGCCAAGGCGTGGAACCCGCGGGGTACGGGTCCTTCGCAGACGCTGTGGAGGTTTCTTCTCTTGAAGGTGCTCACGCTACTCTCCCACCACTCTCTCCTGCGCGGTGCAAGCATCCGCGAGATCACTCTCCCCGACATCTTCTTGTACCGACTGGCGAGCACCTCCTCGATCAACCCGGAGAACCAGCCGGTCGTCATGGTCATCGGAGCGCGGAACTCGAAGACGTCCAAGGATGCTCGTCTGCAGCAGAGCTACGCCGCGCGGCACCTCGAAGCGGAGTTGTGCGCCGTCGGCGAGACGGGCCTGTGGTTGCACTTCGTCCTCGATCAGATCGGTCAGTTTCACGGCGTCCGCCTCATTCCGCCGGTCGACACCAGCACACGCGCTAGCTGGTACAAGAAGCACCTGTTCTTCGCCAAAAACGACACCGACCAGGGTGAGCTCTCTGCGGCAACCCACCAACGCTGGACGCGGCAGTTGTGGGACACCAACAAGGTGTTCTGCAAGAGGAACGTGCACGCCGCTCGAGCGGGCGGGGCCCAGGAGCTGGCTATCGACGGCACGCCGCGCGCCGAGATCGCGGAGCTTGGACACTGGGCTCTCGACAAGATGACGCGAGCGTACATCACCGCCATTCCGGTGGGGGTGGTGATGAAGAAGGCCGGGTACTCGGGGTACAAGCAGGACTACTTCTTGGGTCGGAGCAGGGTGCCGCCCTCCGAGAAGCTCCTGAAGCTCCTCGCCGAGCACATATTCCCCGGCGTCGACGACATGCTGAAGGAGGTATGTTAGTCGACGCCCTCGTAGCTTGCCGCCGAGTCGTGTTGCCGACCTTTTCTGAGCTCCCCGTACCCGTGACAAATGGCAGGCGGAAGGG